GCCCTCAAAAATGAAATTTGAGGCAAAAATCGAAAATGCACTGAATCGGCGCGGCGAATATTTCGCGGTCGAAATTATTTTATTTATTTTTTTGGATATTTTTCCTTGAAAAATCACAACCTAATCAACGGACCCTCAAATTTTCAGACATTTTTATGAATTTTTCTGGGCACAAAAAGTCGGCAAAGTTGCCGCTTGAAAATGGCGGGATTGGACCCGCTGGTGACGAACAGTCACCGCACCTCCGTACAACCCGACCCTAGATCACAGCGACAAGGGTTTTCGATGGCAGGGGGGACTGGTGGCTCGTCAATTCCCATAAACTGCTTGTCCAATTCTGCCTTGGCCTTTAACTCCTCCAATTCCCTTTTCAATTTTGAAAGGTCAAAATCCCACGGATAAGACACCTTGAAAATATCGATCGTTTTTCCTAAGGAAGATTCGCAGGCGACCTTCATATTTTGTCTAACCACTTGCCCAATCTTACATACAAAGAGTTCCTTCTGCTTCTTCTCCATAAATACCTTCTTGTCCTCCGTCTGCTTTTTCTTCTTCTATTCCTCCATATTTTTTTGCATCTCCCTCTCCTTCTTCAGTCGTGCTTTCTCCTCGATCTGCTTTAACAACAGATTGTACACTCGATCTATCTTCTCCTCACACTCATGATCTCGCAGATATAAATCGTTTTGCCGATAATTGTTACGGTTGCAGTAACCAACAGCTCGACTATCGTACCCATAGCCGCGATTACCATAGCCAGTGCCTCGATTGTCATGACTCTGAGGAGGTCGATAAGGACGATAGCATTCGGAGCCAGAAGGATGCCACTTAATGACGCCGCCCCATTCCTGGCCTCTGTCGAAGAAGAACTTGATGTGATCTCCTGACACGAGATCCGCCGCGTTTGGGACGTCACGTAGCTGACACTCCCACAAGAAATGCCCCGATAACCGACAATGATGGCACACTCTTGTTCCATACATCGCAAAACACGACTAACCACGTCCAAATACCAATTGACCAGATCGCGCAAAGCCCTAACAGATATGATAACAAACGTCTCCCGTAACAGAGACAAGAAGGGAGGAAGACTATTAGACGAATCAAGAGGAAAGGGTGAGTCCAACGGGGCATACTCACTCAGACGGGGTAAACCCGCCCCGCTGGTTATCACGTGAATGTTGCGGCAGTATGAGAACGACGAGCGACAATCATTTTATGCAAAAACTGCAAACGACGACAAGGGAGGAGGATAGACAACACGAAGAAGATAGTAAAACCCTGAGCGCAAGTTGACTCGTTACTCATATTACAATAAACACCAGCCAAAATGGCGAAAAAAGTGGTGCAAAAGCACCATTTGTGAAGCTCTGGTGGCAATTATAAACCCTACACTTGTTTCAACCGGCTCGCCACGAACCGGCCATCTCCAGGGTCAGCGCACGGTGAGACACAAAATAGAGGCAACTGTACCATTATTATATACCTCCGTGCATCGTAACAGACATTGGCTAGGTTCCAAGTACCGGCCTTAAACGGTGAGAACCCAGGGTACAAATACCAAATTAGAGGATTCCAGACCAGCCCAGATGGGCCCAGTGACGGACTTGCTCATAACTCTGCAGAATCATAGGGTCCACCAAGTAAAACAGTGAACCCAGTTGTTCCAGACCCCTCCAGACTTTATATTATAATTTATAAATGCCTGGTAAAAAAACAGCGAGGGTCAGTCAATTCGATGATAATATCTGTTGGCGGTTCCCAAGCATAAAACACAATAATAATCGAGAAGAAGATGATGTGAGTTTTAATATCATGACGTCACCAACTCCTTCCCCACTCACCCTGATCTAACACCATCACGGAATTTTCAACCCTTCTACTCATATGTCACTCAAGTTGAGGAGAAACTTTTATCCTACGACTTTTATATTAGTACATCCTGCTTTACGCCTTATCGCGCTACGTTAGTTGGGCCCAAATTCAGCCATCTCAGATACTTGGGCCCTGGGCGGGCCATATAAGTCCCCCAATCCGTACCACTCCTAAAACACGTTAACATCCTACTTGGTTTGCTCTGATTGGATCATTCAAACTCTATCTCTGAAACACAATATTGCGACTCGGTTCAACGCCACATAATCAAAATCCGGTCGGAATCCA